CCACTTGACTCGCACCACCACATGGGAGGATCCGCGGAAAACGGCCGCTGCTGCGAATGTGGCGGCGGTTGCCGCCGCGGTCGAGAGCGGCAAATCCAACGGCAACACGCTAGGCCCACTGCCCGATGGATGGGAGCAGGCTCGCACACCCGAGGGCGAAATCTACTTCATCAATCATCAGACCCGCACCACTTCGTGGTTCGATCCGCGAATCCGTAAGTTCGGCCGCTCGGCAAAAAAAGAGTCGCAGTTTCTTCTCGCCCTTCGTGTTCCCCGATAGTTTCTCCGCATAATATATATATATATATATCCCCTGTATATAATAGTAGCAATAATAACGTAACGCAGGGACAAAAGTAGCAACGACCATAAATTATGATTTTTTTATTATATCATTGTAGCGTTATGTTATTATTACCATTTATGATATGTATGATGAGTTGTGTAATAAATAATTTTGGAGTTTTCAGGTACAATGAAACGATGGTACTTTTGTGTCATTAGAATTTTATGAAACAATATACGCGAAGAATCAGAGCTGATCATAAATCTAAACAATGTACATATTGTTTTATGAAATTATAACGACGTAAAGATACGAAGTACTGTATTTTATATTTCGCCTGAAAAATTCGAAATTTCTCATTGTAACCAATTTTGTCACTATTGCTGCTACTATTACGACTGCCATAGCAATAACAGCGCCGCACTAATGATCATAATAGCAACAAAAGTCGCAGCGATAGATCGTCGATAATTCCCGTGTCGTTCTTCGTTGCTATTCTAACGAAATATCCTGCTTCCTCAGCATCGCATCTTCAGAGAGCTCCCACATCGGGCGCGATGCTGCCACAAAGCTGGCTCCAACAACCCACCGGCGGCGGCATACAAAGCAGTCAGAGCCTGCAAGCCTGTCAGCAGAAACTGCGCCTTCAGTCGCTACAGATGGAACGTGAACGCCTAAAGCAACGACAACAGGAGATTATGCGCCAGGTTGGTACAAGGGAAGAAGAAGGACAAAAAAAAAAAGAGAAAGAGAGAAAGAGAGCGAGCGAGCAAGGAGGACACGTATGAGCGACCTCGCGGCCACAACGCGAAGGCCGAGATTGTTGTTACCAATCTTGCATCTCTCACATGGATATGGTCTCTCCGTTGTTGCAGCAAGAGCTCATGCTACGACAGAGTACCACCGATGCTGCTATGGATCCGTTTCTGTCAGGCATTAACGAGCAGCATGCCCGTCAAGAGAGCGCCGATAGCGGCTTAGGACTCGGTTCCGCTTACTCACTTCCTCATACTCCGGAGGATTTCCTCGCGAACATCGATGACAATATGGACGGCACTAGCGGTAAGAAGATGAAAAAGAAAGAAAAATATTGGTTTTAATTTTAATGAGTAGACGATCGACCGACCGACCGATCGATCGATCGATTCATCTCGAGGTATACTTTGAATATTCAGAATAATCCGTTTTTGCAGATGGCGGTGCGCCGATGGAGACGCCCGATCTGTCGACTTTGAGCGACAACATCGACTCGACCGACGATCTTCTGCCGTCGCTTCAGGTATCCCCATTCGACGCGTGGTATCCGTTGCAGTTCGAGAACGACGTTATACTGAGATTTGTTTGAAAAGAGTGGCGGGAAAGACTCATCCACCCTTTTTTTTGCGAAGACAGAGGCAGTTGCACTTTCCGACTAATTATCGTATGCTCAATCTTCTCTCTCTCTCTCTCTCTCTCTCTCTCTTTCTTTCTCTCTCTCTCTTCCTGTACCTATCTATCTTTCTATTTCTTCATCTCTATCTTTCTTTCTCTCTTTCTCGCTTTAATAACGGGTATATTATTTAAAACAAGAGCGAGGCACATGTTCATCATTTGTGTTCATGAGCGTCCTTCGTTTCAGTTAACCGAGGATTTCAGCAGCGACATCTTGGACGACGTACAGTCGCTCATCAATCCCAACACGACCAAACCGGAGAACGTGCTGACGTGGCTGTAGTACGGCCCGACGTTCGGAGCTCGTATTCGCGATGTGAATTCGCTTGATCGGTCTGGCGAATACACCAGCGGTACCGCGACACCTAGAAGAGACGTACGCAAGAAATTCTTATCGAGGGGGCTTTATAAGAGCAGCAACACCACCGACAACCGTAACAACGAAGTAACACGATTGTTTGCTTACGACGACAATCTTCAGACTTAGACACACGGTGGCCTTATTATTGCAGCGCGTTATGCTCAACAATCTAGACACGTGTATGTGTAAGCGATACATATATACGCACATACGTGTACGTGTGTGTGGTGCGTGCGTGCGCACGAATATGTGTATCGTTTATGTAGACACGCATAGGTAGGTATAAGGATTCCTGTTCTTCGGACCTCCCTCTCTGTCTCTCGCCAGGCGCGATTTCACGCGTTCGTGCGAGCGCTCTCGCGTGCGAGCGTTCTTAAATGTTTTGTACATAAATTTCTAATCTGCTGGTGACACGCGGCCGTGGAAACGTGCCTGAGAAAGAGAGCGAGAGATGGAAGGGGTGGAGAGGAGGAGGTGAACGACTGGATGGACGTTCTCCTCGGAGAGGAAGGATACTTTGACGACAATAAACGGTGCGCCAATGCGACCGATCGTCGATGTTGCGTGCTTTTCGTTAAAACGCGACGATAACGAATGATCCGACGCGTCTTATCCGTCATGCTCACGGTCGAATTATCAACGAAAACTGCTGCTGCTGCTGGCATCATGACGTGCCAGTCTCTCGGCACGTCTCTTCGTTTCTCGCCGGTTTCTCGAGGACGAAGCGAGAGAACGTCACAAGTGCGACCGATTGTGGACGTGTATGTCGCGAGAGTGAGATAAACGGAAAGATCGTTGAGCTCCGACGAACGTGAGTAGCAGAAGTCTTCGGTGGCCGTGACACAATAGCCACGTGATAATAATCGTGTTCTCAGCCGGCCGATTGGCTTCTCCCGCGCGTAAGCAACGGAGGAACGTTCGATTGGATGCTTCGAGTTCGTAAGTCTTGTGTTAAACAGAAAAATACGTTCCGTGCAAGAACGCGTGGACAGAGAAGATTGTTGATTGAATTGATGCGATAATGAACGATCCAAATCCGAGGAAATTAAATTCCGTTCTATTAGAGAATAGAAACATTTTGTTTCCTTGAAGCAAAATGTGTTGCTTCGTTCATCGTCATTGTTCATTGTTCCTTGGTTCATCCACTCAATCTTCTTTCTTCATACGAGAGAGACGAGTCGTCGAGGTGTCGAATTATATATATTACGTCCGCGTTAACGAACATTTTCACGATTATCGCGCTCGCAGTGCAATTCTATCACAAGCGATACGCTTTAAACGAAGTGCCTTGTCCTTTTCTTAAAAGATCAATCTAAACACGCGAGACGAGGCTGGGTCTCGGCCCCAGTCGTCGTCGTCGTCGTCTTTCAAAGCAATAACCGTCCATACAAATCGTTCGCGTGAACATACGTGGTAATAATTATTAAAGGTAAGCAAAACGTGCGTGTTTTTACACACTCCCCGCGCATGCTCGCGAGTGTGCGCGGGGATACGAACCGACCGAAATCGGTTATGTCCGACGCGGTGCGGCCAACGCAAAATGAAAAATTATGCATATAAATATATATATATTTTTTTTATATATGTAAAGTCTATATATATACTTGTTACGATTTTGCAGTTATTCATATTTTTCGAGGCAACCTTGTTAGATTGTAAACTTCTCTTACATTTTATACTACTATCGTGCAGTTAATGTTAATGAAGATCGCGAGAGAGAGAGAGAGAGAGAGAGAGAGAGAGAGAGAGAGAGAGAGAGAGAGAGAGAGAGAGAGAGAGAGAGAGAGAGAGAGAGAGAGAGAGAGAGATAGGTTGAGTGTTAGAGCGAGAAGGAAAGTTACATAATATTTGCAAGGTTTACGTAACTATCTTTTAGCCATAAGTATTTCTTCGCGCGTCCCGTTTCTCTCAACACCGGGACACACCGGGACCGGCGAGACGTTCAAGAGGCCGCTAATGTCGAGATTTCTTTGTTTTTTATACCCTGCGCTCGCGGATCTGGCGTGCGATGATGTGTCAGCGGCCAGGGAATCGGGAGCGGCTTTCTCGGGACGAAGAAGCGAATAATATAGTAACGCGCGCAATATTGTAATGTATAATTAGTTATACATTGGCAGCTCTTAGGATGTACGTTAAGGCGCGGATATTTTCGCGATCGCTTCCCACCATTAGATCGTTCGAAAGCGTTCTTGCGTTTTCATCGATGCGTTACTTGAACCATTACAAGAATATCATGATATACAATTATAATTACGGAATATATCTGTGTATATATATATATATATATATATATATATGCAATATATATATATGTGTATATATATATATAAATTCTATATATATAATATATATAAACTCAACATATATACGAAACGTACGAGTATGACTCTTTGAAGTATGATAACAATGAGAGAAAGAAAGAGAAAGAAATAAGAGAAAAAACAGTTTGAAGTAACGTTGAGGTAATACTACGAAGGTATCGATGCGACTTTTCCGAATAACGGGGTCACGACAATAGAAAAAAAAGAGAGGGAAGGAGAGGTCACTCCGGAAGCGATCACGTGAATCTCCCCGATTTCGTACATTAATTAAGAAATACGGCGATCTAATATCGCGTAGAAGGTCTTTAGCTGGCGGTAATGTCTGGCTCTCCCGCTTTTCCTCACAATAAGGAAAAGACGAGGGAGGAGCAAGGGCGAAACTTACGTTCGTTCTGTTATTCGCCGCCGCGCATTCCGGTTTTTCTCCTTTTTTTTTTCTTTTTTTTTTCCTTCAACCGGTCACGCGCGCGCGCGCACTCGCGAATGCAGAACCATCGACTTCTTTGTTCTTTTCTTCTTTTTTCTTTTTTTTTTTTCTTTTTATTATAAGATAGTAAGAAGGGAGCGATCGTGTAAAGGTTAATTTGATATTTTGTGTCGCCTGTCTGTATTCTTTAACGCCGAGAAGAAGATAGAGGGACAAAAGACCACCCCCTGGAAGGCAAAGGGCGACGTCACGCACGCGTCCACACGTTCCGAACACGGCGATGTGCCTCTTTCCCTTTCTTGTTTTACACAACACATACATACAGCGGATAATTTATTTCGTGCATTTTGAAATTATTGGAATATATGAGAAATATTTTTTAAATGTTTTTTACGTCAAATCGCGGAGATGCGCGCCTCGCGTTTTACTTTTTCTTCCACCTGCTTTTATTTGTCGACTTTTTTATTTCGACTCCTTTTACCGCCGATAGATCGTTCTTTCAGTTTTATTTATCCCCGAGTCCGGAGTTCAGAGCCGTGTCGTGTTCGTTCCGCAGTGGTTTTCCGCGTCGTGAAGACGGGCGCTTGTCGCACCTCGTCTTCGTCGACGAGAATTTACGATGGTAGGATCGCGTCTAACCTTCCAGGAGTGGTGCGTCGACAAATGTCAATGCGTCTCTAATGTATTATTTTTAATTGCAATTTAACGATAATATTAATGTACCGTACTGTATCTTGCTTTTAGTCTAAACTCAGTCTAGAATTATGTTTCGGGGGAAAAAAATGCATTGCGACATATTTCGGACTTTTATTTGTAAAAAAGTAACTGAGGAATAATAAATAAAAAACAAAGTGCCTTCATAAGCGGAGGACCTCCTAGTGGCCAGGTCTTTAATAATAATAATAATGCTACGATAATAATGATACAATAATAATGATCCTTGTCGTCTACGTCGCTCAAGCGCGCGCGTACGCGCGTTCGAACGACGACGACGACAATGAACGATGACATGACGACATTAATGATGAATTCTTTTTAGATCGAGACTCCCCACTTAGCGCGTTCGCGTCCATAATATTTGAGATTATATCACCAGGAGAAGCAATTAGGTGTTTAATATCAGTATTTAAATATGCTCATTGGCAATAATTTTTGCAACGTACGTTTTTATATCGATAACAAATGCCTTAGTATAATAATGATAACAATAAATATATTGTTTACTTACGTACTGACATACAAATGGTATTTATTTTTCCCATGATTCTCCCTCCGTCCTAATTGGTTTCAAATCCATCGAGAGGCGTTTTTGCAATTCAGAGCGATCGGCAGATATGGTAGAATGATTTCATGATTCTTTCTCGCGTATTACTGCAAATTGCAAAACTGCTTCTTTTCATTGACCACGTGGTTCTTAAAGATGGCTGTTTCGAACACTTGTGTGTCTCTCTAGTGTGCCTAATTATAAAACAAACTATATATAATCATATTTATATACATTATATATTGCAATTATATAATATATATAAAAGATATGTATAATTGATGATCATACACATATATATATAATATATTAGGTGAGTGCAAATGATTTAACAAATTTCGTGATAGAAAAACAGACTGAATGATTTTAAAATAAGTAATGATGTATTCATTTTATCAAACAATCGCTGCTATTATCTTTCGTATGTTATACATTTATATATACTTGTAAGTGCTATGATAAAATTGAATTAGTTACACATCTTTGAGAAACACGTCAAAACTTTTGCATTTACCCAATATGTCCGTAATAAGATTATAATTAGAAAATATATCCTGAATAATGGGCACTCTGTATCGCAATTTCACTCGTTTCACACACTCGATGTGCGTTTCTGAGAAAATCTTCGAACTTATCAGCTTCTAACATGAGAAAGATATTTTTTCGGAATCGTTCGTCGTCAGACGTGCGCAGTGCGGACTGTGCTTTTTGTGATTAGATTTCGTAAGAATGCTGAGAAAAAGCGTGACGAGAATAAGATCGCGGTCTGTTTAACTCTTTCAACCCTTTCTTTCGCGGCACTTTTGTTGAATGGGGACAAAAGAAACTCTTTAGAAAGAAACACAAAATATTCACACGTGTGTGTCTGTGATTTTACGAATATTTTTGTGTAGGATCCATCTAAATTGCCAATGGTGCGAAGCATTCTTTTGATACCTTTTTTTATACATGGAATTTGTTGTTTTATGTAACTGGAGCGTCTCGGGACTCGGAGCGTGCAATAAACCCTTCCAATAAATCTTGACCAACAAATCCTTCCAATAAATTTCTTTTTAGCACACACAACGTAACCGGATGATTGTTTCCCAACGTTTCGAACGTCCATCATGTGTTTTTGCGAAAGAAAGTTCGTTCTCTTCGAAAGATGTATCGGTTGATTGAAATGTAGCCAAAAGTCATTCGGCTTTATTGGTTTCTGCCGAAAGAAGAAGGAGAAGAAAAAAATGACAGAACGTGCTCACAAAAATTCTCACCTATCCCATTTCATATTTAACGAAGAAATAAACTGAATAATAGTCGTGAGAGATGTGATGCAACAAGGAAATGGGTCGGAATTTCAAAATGTCCTGCTACGCACAACGCGAAATGTGAACTACACGCAAAGAAAGTATTCAAAGCACTTTGAATCTGCGAGAGAAGTCCTGTACCACGAGTCTTCGATCTATGCTTTATAGCTCGACTCCTATATATTAAACAAAGTTGGAAACAAAAGTGGCGTGTTTGTGGACAATTGAGAGGAAATATAATCCTTTATATCCTGCTTTACAAACCTGCTTATAAGTTTATGACCGACACGTTCGAAGTCGTGCGCGCGCGATCACCTTCTCACGAGGCGGCGCATCGAGCGATCGAACATCGATATTCGAGAGATCGCTGCTGGTCGATGAGTCGCTCTCGTCTCGTCTCGGACACTCGCTCGCGCATACGTCGCCCTCGGGATTCGATTTTCGTTCGGCTCCTTCGTTGCGCGCGCGTGACACCTAACAATCTGACAATATAAATTCTAATAATCCGACGATAGAAGACAGGATTAGACAGGACGCCGTGAATGCCGGGAGAAACGACGTCAACGAGACCACTAACTGGCGCCATTGAGAAAGTGAAAAGGGAGAGTGAGACGCCACACCGTTTCCCAGCGATGTTTCATTCAGGTAACCACACTTGTTGCCTTTCACCAAATTTAGGGGAGTTTCTCAACAAGAAGCCAAGTTATAAAAAGCCAATGAAAAAAACACGCAACTTGACACCCTTCCCTTGTACATACACAGACCTGTGACTAATGGGAGCAAAAAATCTCCCCTTCACTCATCGGCTGGCAGGTTGATATCCCTTCTTTACGCCCCTCCTGTATTATGCGACTGACTGGCAAGAGGGGCTTGATCACGCCCTCGTATAAAAAACGGAAAGTTAAAACCCCCTTCGATCAACAGGTTGCCCCCTTCGATGAAGGGGACGGTACGGTGGTAGTGGTGGTAGTAGCGATAGCGGTGGTATTTGAAATTACCCTTTTGCGTCGCGTGCGCCTGAGAGTCGTTCTCATCGACGCGATTAACGCGATTAGGGTAATTACTACGATTGTATGTCGGTGTGATGGTCCGATGATATATAATCGCTTCTGTATCGTCGCGTAACTGGTGTCACGATGCGAAAACGTAAGAGGAATTGATTAAACTCTGCACTCACGGTCACTATGACGTGAAACAGAAGTACATTTCGAAACCTTTTCGTATGTGAGTATCGAAAAAGAAGAGGAGAAAGTACCT